TTATGATATAAGTTATTATTTTTCAGAGTATTATTTTTTAATTATTGAAGAGCATATGAAAATTTTGAAGAGTCATATGATAGCCTCCATCTATTGAGTGCATTTCCACCAGGCACTGTTTTTTAAATGCCTACATATTAAATTATGACATTCAGATGTAATTATTGTTCTCTGTTACCTCTAACCATTTTGCTTTTCTTCCTCAACTATCACCTTAAACCTTGTAACTCTAAGAAAGAGTTTTTTTTCTTCTTTTGGAAAAAAAGAATTCTAATATGTTAATCAATACTTCCTTATTGATTTTTTGGCTTCCTAAGTTAACTTGAGCTAGGGCCCGATGAAATAGTCTTTTATGTTAAGGTTGAAAACTTTTATTAAGAAGTGATATTATATCTATGTTAGTAGAGCCAGAGACTGATTTAAAGATGGCAGAGGATTATTAAATCCATACCTTTGTTCATGCTCATAGCAGGAATTTATTGAGCACTTACTATATGCAGGACACTGGTAGACATTAGGGAAGCAGAGATTATGAGTACTCCTCAGACTCTTCCTCTACATCTATCACACAAATTACCTAAGTACTTAGGCTACTGGGCATATGTCCCCATACATTTTAGGGGCAGATGCTGGCACCTTCTTTTCTGATCCTCCCATATTCTTATTTGTGTACTCGTCTTGAGGACTATAGAGTTTTTATTGAACTATTCATGCTTTACGACTTGGTCTGGATCCAAGGCCCTTGGTGACAGAGGATCCATTTAGCACCCCTAACCCCAGAAGACTCCTTTTGTTAAGTGGATTATTTGTATCTTGTGCCCGTCAGCGACCCAGTATTTTAGAAACAGAGGGGATTTTTACCTAGAGACAGTAATGGTTATCTGACCTAGAGCAGATGTGAATGAAATGGTGATGCTCTCACCCAGTTCAGGGGTCATGACCCTCTGTTGGACATTCTTTCTTCCAGACTGGGCAGAAGGTCCAGCCTTGTGATTTCTCTGAAAAACTTTAAAAATACTTTGTCTCGGTAGCTTCCTTTTACTTCACCCTTTGACCCAAAGGTTGCAACTTAATTTGTCAAGGCCAATTCTTGTAAAATAATAATGCCCTACTTAGGCTCTGACCTTGATATAGGTTAGATTACCATGGAAATAATTGGGAGGGTGAGTGGGAGAAATAAAACCGCAAAGCAGCCAAAATAGCAATCACAAATGCCAACCACTAAAGCCCGTGCACTTTTCTCTGGTGAACAGACTCCTAGGCCCAGTGTGTCAGTTTCCTATCCCTGCTGAACAAATCAGCCCAAACTTAGTAGCTTCAAACAACACAAACTTATTGTCTTACAATTTGGGAGGTCAGAAATTTGAAATGGGTGTCCCTGGACTGAAATCACAGTGCCAAGAGGACAGCATTTCCTTCTGGTGGCTCTCAGAGAGAAGCTTCTTGCTGTCTGAATTTCTTGGCTTCTGGCCGCCATCATCATCAAAGCCAGCAATGGCTGGTCGAGTCTTCCCCATAGTGAATCACTCTGACATTGACTCTCCTGCTTCCCTCTTTTTCTGCTAAGGCTCCCGTGATTACAGTGAGCCCACCCAGTAACTTAGAATATTCTCCACATCTCAAGGTCGGTTAATCAGCAACCTGAATTCCTCTTTGCATGGAACATTATATAATCATCAATTCCAGGGATAGGACATCATCTTTGGGGGTCATTATTGTCTTCTACACTCATGCTATATATATCCTTAGTTCATAGTAATGCAAATATGGTTATTTGGTTTATGAGTTGTCAAAAGTGGGGAGCATTGTGAGTGGTAGACAACCGTCTGTAACAGGAAATGAGAGCTGGGAGCCAACGTCAAAAGAAGAGATTAAAACCAAAAATCAGCCACAGGGATAGCAAATCACAGGATCCTGAGGTCATGTAGAATGAGGAAAATTCTCCCCACTCACTGCAGTGGCTCCTGGGGCATTTGGTTTGATGGCAGAAAATTTTAAACACTGGTCAAAATCGTGATCCCGAGTCATTAAGAAAATGCTTTATTTAGTTTAAAAAGCAAACAGCTTACCATAATTTAAAGAAAGGGCTTAAAAAAATGAAACATCCAGAGAAAATCTAGTGAATATTCATCTGACTTCTGAATGAGAAAGGATTCTCTAAGAAGGAAAGCAAAGGAAGAAACAAAAAATGAAAAAGATCTGTATTTTAATGTAAATAGATGTTAATATTTACATAGTAAAAATCATAAACCAAATTAAAAGGTAAATAGCAAGTTGTGAAAAATATTTGTCACAAATATGACGGTCAATATTACCTTAACCAAGTTCACACAAAACAAATTACAAACTATAATAGAGGCATGGAAATATATTTTCAAAGAATTTTTAATGATATAGAAAATATTAAGTGAATTATGACATTTATTTTTATATTTCAGCAACCATTTTATGCAGAACAAGATGAGAGAAATTTCATAAAATGTTAAGAGAATTATGGGTCTGTAACTCTTATTTTTTCTTTTCCAAATTCTCAAGCTTTTACAAATGAGCATATGTTTACTTTTATACTCCGAATTGTTTCATTTTCCATAATCAAAAATAGAAATGTGTGTAATACACCTTAGAAAGATTTCAAATAAAATGGTTTGTTTTGATGTTTGAAGCTTCTGTTATGCAGACAATTCATCTATGTGCCTGCATTATTATCTCTCAAGATGAAGGACAAGAAATTGGTGTACTTTGGAAATACTGCCTTACTTTCATGAAAATTTAAACTAAATTCATATTATTTGGCTTTTTACAGATTTCCCAAAGTCTGTTTCAGTGCTCTGTGAGAAAATCTATTCAGAACTAAAATAAAAGTAGGAAAAACTATACTATATTCCCTTCTTGGAGAGTCACATTAGCATTTTCAAGGTTGTGTAAAGTTCTGCAGTAAAGAAACTTGCTTATTTTTCTTTGATGAAGAGTTTCCCAAAGTTTTCCAAATTCTAGTAACACCTATTAACATCTCCCCCAAGTAATGTTTACTGTACATTACACACTTTGGGGAAAAAAATGGGTTTAAGGACAGCTCAGCTAACTCATTCACTTTAGCTCACAACTTTGTAGACTCTGAAGCTAGAAGATGTGACTCGAGTTTGATGAACCTTCAGGAAAATTCTAGCTGGGAGGATGATAAGGTTGTGATTGGGCAAACTCGAGGCTCTGCACGGTAGCTCTATGCTTGAAAAGACTCCAAGCTCTGATTCAAGGTACCACATTCCTCTCTCCCACATCCCATCACCAGCCCAAGCCAGTGAATAGCTGCCAGCCCGTAGTCCTCTGAGCTGCTGTCTGCTCCAGATTGCAGAATAATGCTTGGCCCCTTAGTCATACCTGTTGTATCTGAGAGGGTGTGATGATAGTCATTGCTAGAAAGTAAACCTTACATTAGAGGATAATAAATATGTGTGGTCACCAGAGAACGGTACAAATGTGTTCTTACATGTCAGTGAGTGGCCCGTGAGTCTCCCTCTGGTCTTCTGCCCTCTTCCCCCAGGTTCTTTCCATCTTTCTAAGCTCTTTGGCTTTTCTTCAAGGTTCAGGATCCCAGGCAATGTGCCCACTTTGGAACTGGAGGAGCCATTCTGTTATTCTCAGGTCAACTCAAATGAAGCAATGTCCTTGACTCATATTAACATTCTCAGAGAGCATTTATTAAGTGTTTCATTAAATTCCAGAACCTCTGGCTTAACCAGACTCTCTCCTAGGAAAAGGTACAAGTGGGGAAGAGGGAGGGAAAGACTGTGGTGAGAAGCCCATGCCACTCTACTTGGACTCACAGATCCCCGTGACACTGGGGGAGGCCAGGAGCTCCATGATCATCTCCGTTAGTAGCTTGTGGATACCTAGAATTTAGTGCACAGAGGGACATGCAGGGGGTCCTCTAGAGCTATATTTCCCCTTCAATCATAGTGACTCTGCTTTCTAATATATTGGAGCTAAAGATAAGATTTTATTTGAGAAAAGAGCCATGCTGCTGAAAGAAACAGTTGAAGACAGCCGATCTAGTCCAGCTGCCAGCATGAGTCTCTGCAACAAGCAGTCAAGCAGCTTCTTCTCCGGCCCCTCCAGTAACATGGAGCTCACGACCCTTCCATATTTGGTCGTATGTTATGTGAAACAGAAATCTGCTTCCCTGACACTCCTACCCATTTGTCCCAGTTCTGCTTTCTAGAGACAGACGGAAATAGTTTAAACTGATTTCTCTGCTAGGGCAGCGACTTTGATTTTGCTCTTTGAGGTATCTCTGGAACAATTGTGGGAACACAGTGGGAGCTTAATGAGTGATTATTGAATAAATGGATGAGGACCTTCATGTATCTGTTGTAAGATTAACATATGACTTGAGCCTTAAAAATGGACACACCTAAGGGCTCATGTAATGACAACCTCCCTGCCCCTCCTCAGTCTGTGTCCTCTTTATCAAAGAAGTCCAGGGTAGAGTGGCACTATATTAAGGATCTATGGTCAAGAGGTAAGGACCTTTGGGATTTAACTTATTCTGCCTAATATTTCTGGGGGGAAAAAGCCAAAACAGGCACTGCATAAAAGCAACTTGATAACCATGAAGGAAGCTACCGGCTTCTTGTCAGGGAATGAAGTATAACCCTGGCATGAGGGTCATACTTAGGTGTGCTCAACATTGGTGGCCACCATGTAGTAGGACTTGAGAGGCACTGTAACATCCCACCAGCTCCCATGAAAGGGCCAGAAACTTCACCATTAAAGAATCATTCCTTTGGGTAAAGTACTTATCACTTTTCTAAATGCAAACACTAGACATACTGAGTTGCCAATTCTTTGGAGTAAAATAGCTGATTGGATTGTTTTCTTTAAAGATAAGCGGCTCTAAAGACATTGGATTCTGGAAGAAAAACTGGGCATCAGAGAGAGAAGGGGCAAAGGCAAGTGAGCTGGTGGGTGAAAAAAAGTGCATTTTGTCTTACTCGATACAGGTGCAGGCCGTGAGCTAGCTGCTTTAGTAGAAAAGGCTGTTTGGAGGACGGCGTTGGTCTGGCTCCATGGAAACCCTTTGAAACTGCAGAAGAATCCCTCCCCCTGCCCCAGCCTGACATGGTGAGTGTTCCACATGACTTCCGTGTAATGGGACCAGTGCACTCACACTTTTTGGATGATGGGTACTGGATGTGTTCAAATGACTGTCAGGCTGGCCGGGAAGGTGTTCAGGCTTGCATGGGGCCATCCTCACACCACAGGAGGGAAAAACCAATCCCTGACAAGCCCAGGCTGATTATCAGCCGTGTGATGAAGTGTTACTTCCTGTGCAGGACATTCACAATTCTTAAGAAACTCTTTCCCAATCGGAGTTTTCTTCCTCTATGTGTGTGCTCCCCCCCTCCCCCAGTCCTCCATTTCCCCTGAATCACAGGCCTCACTCCAAGAACAGATTTGATTTAGGAGTGTGTGTACACATACGGGGGTAGGAGGGGGGAGGCAATTAGAAAAATGCAACTTATCTGCTCTATGAGAACTTGTGAATCACAGGCCTCACTCCAAGAACAGATTTGATTTGGGAGTGTGTGTACACATACGGGGGGTAGGAAGTGGGAGGCAATTAGAAAAATGCAACTTACCTGCTCTACAAGAACTTGAATTACCCATACAGACATCTCTTCATAGTTCTTGCAACCAAATCGTCTTTTTTTTCCTTTCCAGATAATGCAACTAATATCATTCTCCATGTGGGGGTGTGTTTACTATTCTGAGATCACATTAACATTACTCATTTAACGATCTGCAATGTTTTGAAACCAACATGTCTCACCATATCTCCGAGTGGAATTTTTCTCTCTACTGATGTTTTAATTGATAAGGACCGTCCCTGAACATGACCTTTAAGATGCTCAATCTGTAGGGTGTGGGCTGGGGGTGCAAGGAGGTAAAGGCCACCCTACCAGCACACTTCATGGCAGGTGGGATGCTTGCTGAACTGGTGAAGGGCTCCCAGACTGAGCTGCCCAGATGGAGCATCTGAGCCTGAAACTGACATTGTCAAGGAGGGTGGCTTCTTGGGTTTTCAATTCCGGTTGACTTGAAGGATAAGGAGGTGCTGTGTTCTCTTACACATAGAACAAATGCCTATTTTATGGCAGGCCTTGTGTACAGGGGTGAGGGTAAAGACTAATAAGACACCATCCCCAACCTTAAGGAGTTTCAGTCTAGCAGAGAGGCAGACATGTAAATAAGTGTGGTAGATACCTAACAGAGATATACTGTGGCAGATCAGAGAAAGTAGTCAGCTCTATAAGGAGGGGGAGTGGTAATATTAGAGATGATTAAGAGATAATGCTTGGACTAGGCCTTTGTGAATAAATAGTCATTTGTCAAGGTGGGAATGAGAAGCAAATGCAAAATATATATACATATCCACATTTGCAAATACATAGAACCGTATGATGCTTTGGGGGAATATCTAGAATTTTGATGGTCAGGGTATAAGTTGGGAAAGGGAAGAGTAGAGATGAAATATGAGAACCAGGTCAAAAAGCCTCTGGTAGGCTTTTTGCAAAGGGTTATTAGCCATGTTAAAACCTCTGCAAAGAGGTTTTTTTAAAATGTTTTTATTGATTTCAGAGAGAGGAAGGGAGAGGGAGATAGAAACATCAATGATGAGAGAAAGTCATTGATCAGCTCCTCCTGCATGCCCCCTACTGGGGATGTAACCTGCAACCTGGGCATGTGCCCTGACCTGGAATCGATTGAACTGTGACCTCCTGGTTCATGGGTTGATGCTTAACCACTGAACCACACTGGGCAGGCTGCAAAGGGGTTTTTATTTTACTACATAAGCAAGCAAAAGGGAGCCACTGGCTAGACTTTAGGTAAGGTGGTGACTTTGACTTTCATTTTAGAAAGGTCACTTGTGTATCTGAGAGGAAAATGGGTCTGAAGCTGGCAAGATAAGAGGCAGGAAAACTAGTTGGGAGGCTATTAAAAATAATTCAAGAAAGTTGTCAGAGTTGCAACTAAGCCAGTGAAAGTGTGAAAGGATTAGAGACATAGCTATTTGAAACATAGAATTCCCATGATTTGGAGAACATGTAGTAGAGGGTGGGGTAGGGTTAGGAGTTAAAGGAAAATGGCAAATCTGAGATGACATCCAGGGTTTTGGTTTGAGTGGTTATAAGACAATGTGGGGAGAAGAGGGTGTAAGATAATTCAGTTTTGTACATGTTGAATTTGAGGTGCCTGTGGGATACCCAAGTGGAGAGGCCCAACATACACTTGGCTATTTGGGTTTGATGCTCAAAAGATAGCTCAGAAACGAGAAGAAAAACATGAAAGCTGTTTATATGTAAGTGGTAGTTAAAGCCAAGGACAGGTCTTTGAACTCAACAACTGAAAGCAGTGGGCAAAGAAAGAGGGACCAGAAAGGGAAACTGTGAAGGAGAAGAAGGAAGGGAAGAAGGTTTCGAGAAGAAGAGACCAGTCAACAACATCAAATATTTCAGGGAGGCCAGCGTAGTGGAGTCTGGAAGCACCTACTGGATAATTCAATTGGTGATCTTGAAAGAGAGCCGCTACAGTGGGGAGGTTGGTGTAGAGGTCAGATGAGTATAGTGGGAATATGTGGGCGGTGGGTAAAGGGTTGATAATGCATTTGAAAGGCTTGCCTATGAAGAGGAGAGAGCTTCACTCAAATATTTAGAACTACTGCTTTTGTCTGGAAGCTATTTCACAAGCAAACAGGCTAGGGCAGCCCCATGGGACAAGAATAGTTTTATGCTTTTAAACTACTGAGCACTTCCCCACTATGTTCTAGGCTCTGGGCTGGGTACTTTGACATCATAGCTTTGAGTCTTTTTCTTTTATCTCATTCTTTTATTTTCTCCCATGTTTTTTGTTGCCATTCTCTGCTTCTCTGCCTTCAGATTCCATCTTTGTTTAACTGGCTCCTTGAGGGTATTTGACATCTACATGTAATCTTAGAAGTGAAAGAGTTTCCCAAAATTGTTGAATAAGTGGGAGTAATAATAATAAACAATAAATGTTAAACAGTAATAAATAACGTCATGCAACTCTAATAAACCATTTCAAAACCTTAGGTGAGAATGTGATCGCAATGGAAATGCGCAGTCTCAACCATGTCAGGGTGAAGCAAACATGGAGGTCCAGGGTGGTGACTATTTCCTGGGAGGTGGTAGCACCCAGGTTCCATCACACAGCATCCACCGGGGATACTCCACTATATTTTGTTATACAGTCCCTTCTAGTTGCCACTGTCATTGCTTAAATCTTCATCAAGAGAATTAAGTAGTTTCCCTTTGAAGAATTGGGAGCCTCAGTCAACTGAAAATGCTGATGCGCCCATAATACAGGAGACACACCTTCCTGAGTGCAGAGGTGGTGAAATGAAAGAAGTAACGGGTGAAACAACTGTCAGGGTTTCCAACTTCTCTAACTTGGAAGGAGTCATTAGGTTAGAATAAATAGCACACTCCCACTCACCCAGCAGAAGCCAGAATGACCCAGTGGGTAGATCAGGAGTAATAACAGCAGTTGTAAGTGTTTCCACATCGAGAGTTCAGATTTTGGTGAGGCCCTAGACAATTTGTGAAGTAGGGAAAGTTTAATTCCTCCCAGCTCTTCTGGTATCCTCCTTCCCTCCTAGAGAACAGTTTTTATAGTATACACTCAGACTAAGTACCAGGCACTGGACTAGGCATATTGAACATATTCACTCATTTGCATCTTGTAGCCACCCTCTGGGATAGGTACTATTATTATCCCCATTTTACAGATTAATAAACTGAGGTTTGGAGGATTAAGTAACTTTGATGAAGACACATTGCTAGGTGATCTAGATATGCCTGACTCTATGTCTGTGCTCTCAATAACTTAGTAACAAGGCCAGGATATAATCTTTGAGTTTTGTCCTCAGTTGACTATTGCTGCTCCTAAAGTTTTTTGGGACTTTAAAAGACTTCAAGAATCTCTATTATGATACAAGTCACTTCCTGCTTTGATACAGAATACATTTATGAAAACAAAAAATCAAAGGGATGGATATCAAACAATAAACTTCAGAAAGTATTGGGTTTGGTTAAGGGGTGGGAGGACTCCCAGAGATTTAAAAAATGATTATAAAAATGCTAACTATACCTTGCCTTTTGGATGCTATATTTGACACTGCACTCCCAGAATTTCATGGTGCTCTTTACTTTGTTCTTTTATATATATATTTGAATAAATTGAACATCCAATTGAGGCTAAAGATAGGCTACTTTTTAAAAAAATATATTTTATTGATTTTTTACAGAGAGGAAGGGAGAGGGATAGAGAGTTAGAAACATCGATGAGAGAGAAACATCGATCAACTGCCTCCTGCACACCTCCCACCGGGGATGTGCCCGCAACCAAAGTACATGCCCCTGACCGGAATCGAACCCGGGACCCTTCAGTCCGCAGGCCGATGCCCTATCCACTGAGCCAAACCAGTTAGGGCTAAAGATAGGCTACTTTTAGCACACCTAATGAATTCTATTTTTATCTTAATTTAATGAGACCTCTCTGTTTATTTTCACTAATATCAGCACACCTTGTCTGTTTCCCACACATTTTTTGTAAATGAATATTTGAATAATCAGGCCATTGCCATTTTGTTACCAAGATGGTGCTGTTATCAAATTGAACAGTTGAGCAATTGCATTACAGAAAAACTCCCAGTGTCTTCTTGTCAGCTGATGAATGAATATCTGAACTTAGTGTGTGGAAAACAGTTTAATTTAGGGGTAGTAATGTCTAAGCTATTGAAAGTGTGGGCTTGGTCAAACTTCCCCAGTGGCCTCTGAATAGCTTCTTCGCAATGAAGGGGTTCAGCACACATTTACTAAGGACATATTAGGTGCTGGAAACTAGTGCAGGGGCTGAGGACAAAGAGACATTGTAATGAGCCCTAAGGAGCTTCCTGACCAGTGGGGACATAAACAGATGAATAGAAAATCCCTTTACAATGCAGTCAATGTGTTGATACAAGGTGCTATGAGAACATACAAAAGGACTCCCAAGAATTCAGAGGAGGCTTCCTAGAAGATTCCTGAAGGATAGGGAGGAAT